AACAGGACCTACAGCTTTGGAAATGAAGATTCAGGGAAAAAACATTAATAATTATTCATTATTATTGCAAATAAGAAAGTGGAATATCTCAGAGTGTACGAAACTGACTTCCTATAATCGAGTCTAGCTTGTGCCAGGCAATTATTTTTCCATTACATCAGTCGTGGATTGACCCTGAGATCGAGAGATCCTCCTGTGGTCACCCTGTTGTTATAAAATGGGTATTCATAATTAATTAAGGATAAAACCTGAAGGTTAAGCATGATCTTGAACAACCATCTCTCTACATAATCATTAGACTTGAAACAGCACTGTCTAACAAAATACTGAACCTAAAACTTTCATGAGTATTGAGAGAGTGGATAGAGGAGCGCAGAGTAAGGAGTTCCAGGATGTAGGGAGGGTTTTTGGTTCTGAAGACTTGGAAAAGGAAAATGCCAAGAAGGAATTGTCGTCGGGAAGTAGGAAAAAGCCACTTCAACTCGGTGTACCATAGTGAAACATGTGAACGCCTGGGGATCCCGAAAATGTATCTTATGAAACAATTCATGAGTATTTTTAGTCTCATTTCCAGCCTGGCAGATAGCCCTCCATACACCAAGCAGCCGTAGTCGAAGTGGGTGAATACAACTAGGGGAATAAATGGTAGAAGTATATATTGATTATCTCTGCAACTTGACATGTATAAGGCAACATATAGTTGTCCATGGGAAAAATAGTCTTCTGAAAAGTTGATTATAAGCTTGAAAGTTTTTCCAGCACTTTATTTAAAGTGACTAAGTAATATTTATGGGTTAACTTTGTTATCATAATTGCTTACAGTTTACCGCACTGATTGAAGCTCCGTTCTTATGAGTCATACTCTAATGTTACTAAGCTTAAAGCCTTCCTCAATAAGGGGTCTACCTGACAAAAATTTCTCAAATCTGACTAGTAGTTCCTGAAATCAGTGCATTCGAACAAATAACATTCACAGTTTTCAGCTTTATATTATAAATTTACCATTATATAATATGAAAGAAAATTTGCAGCTCCTTTCCATTTCACTTCAATTATGTATCTTTATTCACAGCTGTGTTCATGTTTGTTTTCATTAAAACATCAATAATTAGCACTGTTGCAATAATTAACATGTATACCAAGCTGAATTAATGAAAATGGAGCTAGCTTTATTCTTCTATTATTTTAACCATAAAGCCATTACCATTCCAAATTTATATTTTACTCTATGATTTAAAACAATGAAATGTATTGAAGGAATAAATTTTAAAATATTTACATTCTATAAAACTTAAATATGTTTTTTTAATTGAGTTTAAATAAATTTTCTTTTACCTTGACCAATACAATCTCATATTGTATGAGAATGTTTTCATGAAGATCAATGAACCGAGCCGAGAGTACAGGCGATCGATATAGTGGGAGACCCTAAATCACCACTGAACTGTAGTGCCGGAAGAAGAATACAATCTCATATATCGTTGGAAAGAACTTGAAATATATTGTGAAATGACACTCATCCTATGTATTTTGCTAACTTAGAAAAGCTTCTATAGTGATTCCAAAACTTGCGGTCATGTGTTTTGGGTCCCATTTATGAGAAGCTTACAGTTCTGTAATTAAAAAATAAGTATCTCAGTAAAATTTCACAAAAATCTGAGATGGTTAGACTCTTTATTGAGATGACATAAAATAACCTGAATGGTAATCGATTATTTTATTTTACTTTAATAAATTAAATATCTAACTCAATCCTTTCAGCAGTTCATTAAACAATAACCTCAATATTAATTAAAGTTCCTATCATTATTGATTCTGTATTTTAAAACGAATACAGAATAATAGTTAAACAATAAGTAATTATCATAATATTAATCATAACAAATTAATCATTACAAAACATTTATTAACAGTTACGCATATTTTATAAAAGGTAAATATCGATCATGATAATTCTACATGCTATGCAACAAACAAAACAAATATCACTTAAAACACTCAATACAAAAATGAAATGCTAAATCAAATCACAGTTTAGTAATAAAAACTGATGAATAATATGTCATATGTTTCAAAAAGGAGTATCAAGAACATATAGGGATTTTTTCAAAATTTTAAACTTTTTCAAACTAAAGAAGTAAACAGGAAATTCAATCATGAGGTATAGGGTCGAAGCTAAATAAATAAAAGTTTTTTGCAATTATTGTGTTCAAATATACAAACAAAAGTTTGGGAAATAGGCATTGTGTATGTATATGGTTATATAAAATTACATATACACACACTTTCTAAATATACACATCTTATTACAAATTTCAGGTACAAAATGCTTTTCTTAGCCAAGGTAACACACAGGGGTATCAACGGTTTATCAAACTGTACCCCACTTACCGAAAAACCCCAGTAATAACTCCCATATGCTGAAAACAAAAAAACAGTGGAAAAAAATAAAAACAAATATTGGACATGGAAGTGTTTAATTATTAGTTTATAAATGAGATTAAAATGGTTTAAATATTAGCATTTGATTTATATTACCTGTTTAAAATATAGAAGGAGAATGGTTTTAAATTTTTTTAAGTACATGAAAACCAAATTCAATAATTCAGCATGTTTTCTTAACAATTAACCAACGATCCAACAAAATAATTTTCATATATTAATGATCGTACTAAATTATAACCATACACAAACAGAAAATTAAATTTGTAGGTATAAAATATCACATGATTCAATCTAAACCTAGTCTTCCAACCCATATTGTATATAACATTTTTTATTTGTATGTCATTTCATTCCACAATTTAAATCCAACAAACAAAGTGAGATTCACAGTTTTAAAATGCTTAGATAATTGAGAATGCATTTAGAACTTACAAATGGCTATATCTACTTGTTACTAGAATCTAATAAAACATGAAAATGAAAAGATAACTAAAAATAATTGGAAAATTCCTTTCTAAATTTTAAGACCTCAGGTATTATCTAGTAGTTGAAGAAAAATGATTTTTTTCTAACCACCTCAATTTCTCCAGGTTAAAAAACAAAATGTAAAAAAGTAAAAGAAAAAACTTTTTAACACCATTAGACTAGTAGATAAAATATAAAAATTTACATTCTTTTGAACTACCAAATAAAAGTTCGGAAGGGGCATAAGGAGACACAAACCATATTGTATTTTTGCAAGCTAAAGTTTCACCAAACTTTTCAGGACAAACAAGGAATAAAGAGAAAAACAAAGACACACTTTCTCTCTCAATGTTTCATTCCATTCAATTTTGATCTTCAAGGACCTAATGATTCTTAAAAAGAAGGTAGTTTTTGTATTTAAAATTTTGATTGAAGAGAGAAAACATCATCATCCAACAGATCAATCACATGTGATTAAGGATAAGTTCACTCATTGAGTAAAATAAGGAGCAAATTTTCTAATTTAGTATCTGTAATTTAAAGATGAATAAAGGTAATCCAAAATCACAGGCATAAAAAGGCAACTTAAAGTAACCAAAGAAATGCATTAAAAACTTGAAACTATTAAAAAAAAAATCTGTGAGCCTAAAATTCAATGTAGCTAAAGAAATAAAAGTTTTTGGTTAGTTACTAAGAGTATCTAAAACTTTAAGACATCTTTAAAATAATTAATTATCCCAGCGTCCTATGAATAATCCACAACCCGATTTCACTCTCTAGGAGCAGCAAGTACGTATCACGTATGTCAAACTCCACAGTACCTATAACCTATGTTAAACTTCAAAATCTCCAAATTACTAAGGCTCACTAATCTAATGCAAGTGTTGAGCTATAGCCAAGCCCAGAACACTGTCCCTCTCTCTTTCTCTCTCACTTCCTCACTCTCTTTCTTATGAGTGATTATATATATAGATACAATATATGTATATATAGATAGAGATACAAAAAAAAATATATATATATATAAATATATACAATGTATATTGTACAGTATATATTGTAATATTTCTCTTATATTTTAAAAATAATAATATAACCTAAATAAATAAGAGGTTGTTAAATAATAAACAAAATTATAAGATTATTAATATAATAAATTGAAATTTATACATATATTATCTCAGGCATGGGTGATTGGGTGTGAGTGGGTGATGGTGACAGTCAGATCAAAACACTCAAACTATTATTATTTATACTAAAATTACACATCAATCATAGTCTCCCTGCCAAATAACAACATCCAAGATGTTAATACTATTACTGGGTTTTACGCACTGGAGTCAGAATCCCTTCTCCCATCCTGTCTTCACCCCAGCCAAACATGAACTGCTTGTCAAAATAAAATCCTTTGCCCCCCTCCTCTTTGGGATTTTCCTTTCTGAGAAAACTACAGAGCAGCTGTTACATTAATTGATACTTGTCTGATAGGAGGACTGGATGAACCCTCCCTTGTTATCTAATGTTACATCACGTAACCTCCCTTCTTATCTCGTGAAAGCTTTGAGTTATTCCATTGTTTATTTTTGTTACTCATCTTAGCTGTGAGTTATTCCATTGTTTATGTTTGTTCCACGTGTAAGCTGTGAGATATTCCATCGTTTATTTTTGTTCCGTTTGTGTTATTTTCTTCAAATTATGGATGTTATTACATTCTGGATATTACCGTCTTCAGAAGAAGAGGCAATGACTATTTTCAAAACACTGGGATAATTCCAAACATAAAATTGTGTGAAGAAGGTCATGAAATGAAGTTAGACAGGAAGACAAAATGGAGATGTTTTCATACCATTTATAACAAAAAAGTTTCTACATAGACTTCATTGTATACATACATACATACACACACACACACACACACACATATATACATATATATATATATATATATATATATATATATATATATATATATATATATATATATATATATATAGAGAGAGAGAGAGAGAGAGAGAGAGAGAGAAAGAGAATATAATTAACCTTTAAGTACTATATATCATAATAAGATATATCATAGAAGATTACATTACCTGACGATTGCGGCCAAATGTCTAGAAGATATTTGACAACCGAAATAGGACCATGGAAATCAAGGGGCTTTCCTTCAGTCTCAGAATGAAGGACTAATACTGGAGCAAAACAGATAGCGAGAGCTTGAGTAGACATTTTATTTCGTTCTTGTTGAGATGCCACAAGTGATAGATGGTTCATCAAATATACAAATGAACACTATAACAAAGAAATACAATCTGTAAGAAACACGATTTAATAAATTCAATTGATGATTGTATATACAATAAACTGCTATATTTAAAAGGAAAATTATTATTTGAAAAATGAGTTATTTTGGCATCTACAAAAAATAATTATTTATCAAAAATAACTATAGTAAAATGTAAGTATTTTTTTTTTTTTTAATAATGTCCTGTAATTTTTACCCGACTATGATGAAGCCACAGAAAGGGTTATGTGTATGGTCTTTTATCACTGAAACTTATATAACAATTTTTTGATCGAACAGATGGACCAAATTCTAAGTTTGATCGTGCAAATTATTTAGTGAGATCCTGTTGGTGTTTTGAAAGAATATGAGCTCAAGAAACAAACATATTATTGCATAAATCACGATTAAATCATTCTGCTAAAAGGTATAAAATAATTTTTTGAAGTTCTGGCTGGACTGATTTTTAAGTTTAATGGCTCGTCAGATGCCGTGAGTGTTTTGAAACAATTTAGGCTCAAAACACAAAACTAATTATTATATAAACCTGTACCACTGCAACCCATAAAGTCTTGGGTTTACTACTTTGTCAGGAGATACTGTTTCAAGACCAATAGTCTTGCAGGGACGTGATAGGGCTGGGATCACGCTCAACCGCCAGGCTTGCTTCCTTAATCAATTATTTAATTAAGATTACCCACTTTATAGAGGCTGAGTGAGGGTCTCCTGACCCTAGGGTTGATCTACGACTGATGAAAACTTAATTATTACACAAAATATCATTTAATTAGTCCACTAAAAGGTATGTAACGATTTTTTGAGCGAAAATCGAACCAATTTTTAAGTTTGATGGCCGAAATTATTCGGTGAGATCCTATGAATTTTTTTAAACCGTTTAGACTCAAATCACGAACAAATTATTATTCAACCATTTATTTAACATAATGAGGAAAATAAATTGCAATCAAAAATATCTTTAAATCTTAGTATTAAAATTATGACATTCTTATTCTTAGTTATAGAATGATATAATAAGATATCATTACAACTATCTTAGAATAAATAATAAATAACTCAATTAATCATCTTACCCTATTAACATGGGGTAAACAGTCTAAAATGGAAAATATAAGACTAGCATTTCCCTGAGGATCAGATGGTAGACATACTGAAACAGCATCAGCAAGCATTTGATACAAACATCTGGTCACAAGTGGTTCTGGAAGTTCTCGAAGATAATCTTTTAGTACACCTAAAAATATTAAATAATAATTCTTTATTCAAGAGATCAACATAAATATAACCAATAAATCAGTAAATAACACAAATTTTAATTAATCATTATTCCTCTCATGGACTCATTATAGTCCAGTATCCCATGTAGAAAAACACAACTGTTTTTACTAATCTTAAACAAATATGTTCTTGAAAAAAGCTAAAATATAGACACCTGCCGGCAGGAATCCACCAGAATAAAAAAGGTGGACTATCGAAAATGGAATTTCAAAATTTTTTACAGTTATTTGTTTATGAGCAAAACATTGCTTCTAAGTAAGAACTTTTTAATTTTAAGAAAACAAAGTTTTTGAATGTATTTTATTAAACAATATAAAATTCTGGTTCAAATGAGTGACTAACATTATACACTGACAGGCAAAAAATTCCACCCACTTGATTTTTCCATGTTTTCATCTAAAAATATTTCTAAAGTTGCTAAAGTTGTATTTGCATATAATACATGGTATTTGTAGATAATACTTTGTATTTATAGAATTTTATAATCTTTTTTTATCTTATAGAGTTTAATAATCAAAATGTGATTGGGTAAGAAAGATTACAGAAAAAAAAATTGAAAAACGAACCATTATTATTCTAAAAGAAATTAATTACATCATCGTTTAGTAGCACGTGTTTCCTCCTTTTGCCTTCAATACTTCTTGAAGACACCTCGGCATACTTTCCACCAGTCGGGAAATGTCCCTTTGCTGGAGGATAGCCCATTCCTCCCGAAGTGCCCTTTCAAGGTCCTGCAGTGTATCAGGAAGTGTTGCATGCGCTCTTATTCGTCTTCCGAGGTTATTATCATTAGGTTATCGTATCCCATAAATGCTCAATGGGGTTCAAATCTGGAGAATGTGCTGGCCAGGCTAAAACCTCAATATTGTTCTGTTGAAGGAACGTCTGCACTATGCGGGCGACATGTAGGTGTGCATTATCGTGCATTAGAACAGAACGATCGCCGATTTCGTTGAGGATAGGCAACACATGAGGTTCCAAAATCTCATCTACATAGCGAATGGCCATCAAAGACCCTCCACGAACAACAACCAATTCTGTGTGGCGCTCCATTGAAATCCCAGCCCACACCATTAAGGAACCAAGTTGGAAAGGTTGGCTCTGGGAAAAATTACAGGCTACATATCTTTCGTTTCTTCTTCTCCACACCCAAGCCAGCCGTGTTACTCTGTGAGTTCTGGTCAACTCTGGTCCTATTACTGGACAAAAAGCCATTAATTCATACTCATTTAATCTTCTCCAAGCAGTACGTTCAGAAATTTGCACACCTCGAACTTCTTCGAGCTGATGAATCGCTTGAACAACAGTAAGGTGCCGATTTCGAAAAATTCTCAAAGTCAAAAACCGGTCATCCCGTGGTTCTGTTACCCTATTCCGTCCAGAACCGGGCCTTCTATTGGAAGAACCAGTTTCCCGAAAACGCCTGAAAACGCGTCTCATAAAGTTTCATATGGAACTCCGATGGCATTGGCTGCATATCTAATGGAACGTGCATCATCAATAAGTGCCACACCATGCGCAACATCCTCAGCACTAAGAGGCATTTTTAAACTTAATATCGAAAAAATTAAAAGCCAGAGACTAAGAAATGTGCTGCAAGAAACGGCACTGAACTAATGATACAGAATAAACATTTTGATTCCATAGAAAGTAAACATTGGAATCTAGAATCATATCATTTAATTAAGGATTAAGGGTTATTGTCCTCTATATTAACATTCCTAATTGGAAACAAACAAAAAGATTACCTATTTGTTCATTAAAAACAATAGACCAATCCAAAGCAGAAATATTTTTAGATGAAAACATGAAAAAAACAAGTGGGTGGAATTTTTTGGCTGTCAGTTATTAGAAATAGACTGTTTATTACCTGTGTAAACACAGAAATGTTTAATACCTAGGGTAATACTGACTTATTTTATACCAGTCCAAAGTTTTACTGTCATAAACTATATACTATTTAATCAACAACAATGCACATCGGCCATATGCCAGATATCCAAGGCAGAGACCATCAAAAATGTAGTTATGGCTCTCAAAAATGACTTATTTTACACTGAACAAAATTGGTTAAATTTAAAACTACATAAATTGTAAATTAAATGGCAAAGTGTAAGATAGAAACACATGAAATTTGTAGACTTTTATCAGTTTTTGTTTTATAATTCAAATCATGGCAATTAAAATAATCATGTAAAATTGGTCAAGAAGAAGAATAAATCATTAAAAAAACAAAAGCAAAAAAAAACCAACAATATATATTTTAAAGAAATGTTACATAAGTGTAGAATTGAAATGAAATAAAATATAATCGATAAATATTTTAAAAATTCACCTGTAATAACATTTATGTCAGGAACATTTTCAGATGAGAGATCAACTGTTCGAGCACTACGCTCAAAAGCTTCACGTAATATTCTTTTCTTAGTAGCAGAACCACATAATCTGTACAGGCCTAGAAACAAAACACACATAAATACATGAGACATGAATTATTTATTTTTATATTTATGTCAAATTATTTTTTTTTATTTAGCAAAAGCTTAAAACGTACTGTTTCTGAAAAGGATTCCAAAAGTACGAATGTTAATTTACAAATGATTACCTTATCTCTTGCTTATTTTTAAATTTATTCCTCCTAATTTATTTCATTTTATTGTAACTAATATGTTTAATAAGAATATTAAACATTTTTCAATTCTCAGTCCATAATCAAACCATCAGTCTTATCAAAGAAAAAATAACTTACTTATTTGTGAATATTTACTTAGTATATTAAGAATATAAAAGTTTTAATTTTCTACATTAACAAACCAAATTTTATAACTGTCACAGCCTAATTAATCATAAAAATACAATATTAAATTTATTGAAATGTATAATTTACAAACCAATAATATCCAATCCTCTACGTTCAACCTCTTCAACACATCTTCGAACAATAGTTGGTATATTAACAGCATCCCCTTTCATAATTTCAGAAGCAATGCTTTCTCTATTAACAACGGTTTCAAGATCACAGCCAAAGATACCTATGGAAAAAATTATTAACCACATTAAAAAAACAACATTTTAAACAGAATACCAAAACAGACAAACTTCTGAACATTTAATTTTAGTTTCGATTTATCTTTATTTTAAAATCATCATTACTCAAAATAAATATTTTATTTTTGAAGTCACTACCTTGAACCTTTCCTCTAGGAATAACTGGTTGCTTAGGTTTACGACAGAATGTCTGGTGAGGAGAAGTGTGATGAAGACGAAGGTATAAAGTACCTCTAGGTTCAATTTTCACAGCTAATTGGTGGACTGGAGATTCAGAGAGAAGCATAGCCAATTGAACTGAGCCCTAAAAGATAAATAAAATAATGTTATTACATTAAGGAAGAGCAGTATTAAAATTAGTTTAATAATATAGAAGTTCCTTTCTTAAATATAAATAATTAATTCTAGTTCGTAGTTGTATTATGTAGTAGATAATAAATAGAGAACAACCTAATCAATTATTCAATTAAAGAGAAATACTAGTAGTGCCTATGGCTGAGAGAAATACTAAAAAAAAAAAAAAAAAAATATTAATGGTGAGCTATGATTGAAAATTTTTTCTTCTTAAGTAGTTGCTTATGTACGTTTAACAGGAGGTAACACATAATCCATGGTTAGGTCCATCGTAATGTTGGTCCCGGAAGAAGTCATCTTTGACCTTCAAGATGATTTTATTCAAAAAATCGATTTGCTAGCATTCTATGTACAAAGAAAATGTGTGCTTCAAGAAATTAAGAATAAAAGTGAAATTAAATAGTACCCAGTAATAAAATTTAATTGTTCAAAAATGTAGTTCTAATTACACCTAAAAGGACATTAAATACTACCCTGTGATAAAAATATATTAACAGTAAATTCCTCATAGCTAACTTAATCATTTTAAATATAAGATTCAGAATCCAGATGCCAAGAAGTTAATTGCAAGGACGATAATATAATTAAACTGTCCTAATAAACTTACCTGTTCTAATCTTTTAGGATTCTAAAATAATTTATTATAAGCCCTTAGATTATAAAAGTAAAATAAATTCTTAAGCAAATATGCAATATTACAATAGTTTATAATAATGTTAAAAAAATTAGTTAAAAATATAATACTATAAAAAAAAAAGTATTACTGTTCAACAACCTTATAGCACAACTTATGCCGATATTGTGGATCCCAGGAATAAATGAGGAAGTCAAGTTCTCTGTTCGATACCAAATCCAACTCAAATGTTTCATCCCAGTCAAAAACTAAATCAGCTGTACGAACAACAGTCCGTGCTTTATGTACCCCATCACATTCGAGAACACAATAAAGATCCCGAACAACACTACCGGCTCCAGCACCTGGAAATTTGTAATGGCTATTGTATTAAGCTAAATCAATACAACAAAATAATGTGTTACAAATGTTGACACAACTTTATGAAGAATATAATAATTAAGATAAGAACTTTATTATATTTAAAAAAGACATATATTTTAAATAAAATATGAAATTTACCAATACTACTGGAAGAAGATGAGGGATTGGTCGATGCACGGAGTCCGCGTCCACTTAACAAATGAAGCCATAACAACCCACTTACTTCACTCTGACCAGGTCTTACCACAGACTGTTTATACTTCAAAAATTCTGAAAGTAGAAATGTATCAATCAACTAATAGAAACAAATTAAGTTTACTTGAACCAAATAAAATTTTTGCATATAATAAAAAAAAAATAAAAAACTATGATTAATGCTAAAAAAAAAATACTAACCAGCAGGATTAATATGCAATACTGAGGGAGATCTTGGTTTAGGCCCGGCATCACTTCCCTTACCAAGAGATTTAGCTTCCAATTCAAGTAGATTATGCATCCTCCTCAAAGAAGCTGACCTAGAAGTGAGAGATGCAGAATGCCTGTCCATGGAAGATCTATCCAGCGTCGAACTTCTATCAAGCGTAGAATGCCGATCAAGCGTAGAATGACGATCTGGAGTTGAATGTCGGTCAAGGGTGGAATGTCTATCTAATGAAGAATGCCTGTCTAATGTCGAGTGCCTGAAAATTATTAAAATTCCAACTAAACTGAACATCTTAAAAAAAATCCAACAGATTAATTTATCAATTAACTAGGTAGTAAACAACATTTTCCATGAGCACTGTGACTGATTAGAAATCGATAAGGGGAAGTGAACTTGTTACTAAAATAGAATAAAAAGTTGAGGTGAAATAGAATTAAAGTGATAAAGAATGAATATAAGATTAAGAACAGATTATTTGAATAATAAAAAAATAGAAAGGTTTATAATTGTAAATTAAGAAAATTCATCTAAAGAAATTTCAATAACAGAGGGTGTGTTGCAGAGAGAAAATTTTAGCCCTTTTCTTTTTCTGTTGTATTCCTCGGATATACTTAAATTCTTCAATGCCCGGGAGAATAGGGGAATCTTCAGACTGAACATAATCAAAATTTCACTCTTACTTTATGCAGATACCTTAGCCATCTTGGCATACATCTGGCATGAGGCACAAAATAAGTTAGGGAACATGGAATCATATTGACAATAAAAAAATCAAAGTCAATATAGACAAAATAGATGTCTTGTCATTCCAAAAAGAAGTGACTTAGAAGACACGTAAACCTTACAAATCAAAGCATTGTAGATTTATATACTAGGTCTTTCTTTCACTTCTTTGGGTAAATTTTGCTAAACTGATGACTACTTTGTACATAATGATCTATTGCCAGTAGCTAGGTGATTAAAATTGAGTTGCAAGTCAGATATATGGGAAGAAACTCTAAATTATTCCAAGCTGTGTCTTAGAGTGTACTCCTATATCTGTCAAAAATATAGGCATCAGGCATCAGTACACAAATAGATCGAGAAGGCTCAGCTTGCTGATTTAAAAAGTCTTACAATAGTACACACTCAGCAGATTTGTGAAACAGGAAAGTGGGCATAACCATCTGCATCATAATGTATATACTATAATGCTCTATTGGTGGTAAAACTTATTATCCTGCACAAATACGGATCCTTCTTCATATTGCTGTATTGCTTTAATGAAAATTATGGTATGTTATGTAATTCCATTAGGAAGGACTATAGTATTAAGGCCACATCTCTTCACTCTGGGATATCAAGATATTTGAACAGAGCTGACATAAATGAACAAGAAGAATATTAAATATATCTTAGAGAAATTATAAGTTCTTTAAAGATGTTGATTCTGCAATCAAGAAGACTTTTAGTTTTGCCTATGGGGAACTCAGATTTTATAGGGTGGAGGGAAAGTCTCACTTGGCATTGAAAACTGGTATCAGGAGAATCCGTCTAATAGCACATACTTGACTTAAAATTGTTTGAGAGTAAAATATGAGGGAGAAGCCATCTTTGAAATATACAACTCTTGTAAAGAAAAATACATTTGGGCTTACTTACACAAAAAGTAGAGAACAGAACAATCAAATTTATTCTTGACCATTAGTACATAAGTCTCCAACTTTTTTCTAGCTTGAAGCCAAATCAGACGAACTGTTTTTGAAATATAAGCTTGTAAAGGAAAATACATTTGTCCAGGCATAAGTGAAATTAGTAGATCGAAATTGAGAAAATTGATATTGGACCATTTTTACTCAAGAGCTCAACTTTCCCCTAACTAAAGTTGTCCACTTTCAAAATATACATGTATTAAAGAGAATACATTAGTTGGCTATGTGAAGGTGAAAATGGTGGAGGGAATTTTATAACATTAATATGGGACCACCTCTAGGTACTAACTCACACACTCACACACAGAAAATTATATTGAAATCAGATTAACAGTGATAAGATTTCTTAATTTATTTATATCAAGGATTTGAATGAACAGAAATGGAACCAACTTTCTTTATGTTTAAAACGTAAAAGTGTAAATATTTTATTCTGAGGACGATTACTTTTTTACTTCTTGTATGAATAAAAAGCTTTCCTACCTTCATTCGTTCAGTAATGAGAAACAAATAATTATAACTAATGTATATCTGTGGCACATGTGCATAGTGTGTTAAGTTAAAAAATCATATTTATGGAAAACACAATGGAAAGTTTGATATTTTCACAGGTGTAAGTTCAATTTTCAAGTTTCAACCTATGATTCACAAAAGAATTTCATCTCTGTAATAGCCACAAAACATAGCTCATTAGACACAAAGAAAGGGACAAAATTAGCTTTCAGGTGATTCCCTTAAAAATTCACAGAATTGTACTTGACACACTTTTCACAGGTGCCACAGATATATATCTATTGTTTTACATGAATCTGGAACTTCATTTCATAAAACAATACCACAATTTCTTATCTTTTTATATTTATAAAGTAGGTTTAATTCAAAATATACACAAAAGGTAAAGATTAAGGATTGTTGTATGCAAAAGTGGCAAGTAATTTTCATAGTAAATAATTAATTTATTACCAAGTGTGCTAACTTCATACTTTTAAATAGATATGCTTGAGACTTATTATTTTTAACAGAGAAAGTAATCTGTTATTCCTTATCAATAAATAATTATTGTTATTCTATACCTATTTTTAAAGTAATTTCATTTAAGTGTTGAAAATCTCAAAGGTTCAGTTTTTGACACACTGTTTTTGCATTCCTAACTAACAAAAATGAAAGTAATAAATACTAAACAGTGAACTAACCTATCAAGTGTAGAATGGCGATCCAGTGTTGAGTGGCGGTCCAGTGTTGAGTGGCGGTCCAACGTTGAATGGCGGTCTAAAGTAGAATGTCTATCTAATGTTGAATGTCGATCTAGGGTAGAATGCCTATCGAGGGAAGAATGGCGATCCAGAGATGAATGCCTGTCAAGGGTTGTGTGCCTATCGAGTGACTTAAGACCAGTAGTCGTAGAGGAAGAGCTAACTAAAGGACCCATAGTTGCAAGCTGACCAGGTCGGTAAGTTGAATACAACAGCTCAGACTAAAAAATAAATTAACTGATTACTTTCAGAATAAATTTAACCCATCTGAAAACAACTTATCAGTAATTTAAAAACAAAAATCACAAATATTTATTTAAATATAACAGTATTAATTTAAATCAAAATTATCGAAGACCATCAAAATCATAATCTTTAATGGTACTATTAACTTATTGGTCACAAGTGGCAGATTTTAATATTTTCAATAAACAAATGTTTTTAAAATTAAAAACTGTGTACTACACTGAAATTAATATGTCTATAGTCAGCATTATAAGAGCAGTTCTAATTTTTATTTATTTTTTTTTTTAGTTAAAGAATGTCATGTTTTTACAGATTCATCCGACAAAAAATTATAACTTCTGTAACTGGAATATTTTAAAAATTCATCCAAATAAAAGCATATTCACCTTTAAAAAATAAGAAATAGGATATGGCATGGAAAAATCCAAACTATAAAGACTTGAATCTCCATCCTACATACAGGTGAACATCTAACCTATAAATGTTTCACCAATTCAGGCATTTTTTTTTAAAATAGAATATTTTTATGTTTCTGGTACACATATTAGTTTTTTCTTCAGATCATATGCTTGAATATAAACTTCCTCTACTATGTTTATACAACCTCCAGTTTCCTTCAATTTGTATCAAACACTTTGTGTTTGGATGCCTTGATTGTTGATGTTATGTATAGTTTCTAGTATTAGAGTGCTACCAGTGGGTAGTTTCTCAACAAGTCATTTCATGTTTTTATTTTCTGTTATCAAATTTACTTAATGTATTTAATTTTTTAATACAGTTGTAAATATCATGTATAAATAAATAAAAGTTTCTAGTAAATGTAATTTTTGTCCTCTTTCTGTTAATTCTACGTACATATCAACTTGTTTTTGCTTTCCTTATGATGCAGAACATTAAAAATTACCTGAATTGGCAAAACATTGACGGATTAACTGTTCACCTGTATGTTGGGGACTCAATGCTTTAATATTTGGAATTTTTCATTTATATCATAATTACTTTATGTCACTTTTTGAGCAATTTAATCTTTTATAATGAAAATTAATTAGTTTTCAATATAAAAAACCAGTCATAACAAAAACAGCTCAGTCATGTTATGAACATCATTACCTGCAACAAATGAACTTTCAACAACGAAAAATGCACTTTCACAATCATTTATCCTTTTTTTTTTCAATGCTCTTTTTAAAGCAATGTATGCAAGAAATTGTTGAATCAAACATCCTTCACTTAATTTTAAAATGAGTTAAAAGATAAAACGAAAATTGTGAAAAAAAAAATGTTTCTTATAATTAATATTAACAATAATTTCAAAACATGTTCTTTTATATTGACTATGAAATAATTAAGAGTTGAGAGTGCAAGAGAAAAAAACCTTGATAAAATTGCACAAAACAATATATTAATTAAATTTTGTTAAAAAATACCTCAGTAAGATGTTTAAAAAAAGTCTTTCAATTAAATCAGTATGACTGACTTCCTCACTACTTTTATTGGATACATGAGAAAATAAACATATGCGTAAACTTCACTATTATAATTTTACTTAAAATTGAATAAAATAATCCAATAAAAACAACCATATTCTTAACAACAAAATTAATTTTTATTGTTAAATGTAAATTATTACAAGACCATTTTTACATAATAACCCAAATTTCCTTTGAATGAGCCGTTTTTGAAATATAGGCATATTGAGGAAAATGTGTTTTTGTTTCTATTAAAATTGATACTGGTTCATTTTCTTCACTAATTCCTAACTTCCCTTCAATTTTGAGCCTAATTAAACGAGCTATTTTTGATATATAGATGTATATTACATATTATTTTTTTTCTTTTTCTTTTGCATCACCCTGTAGTGCCTCTCAGCGTAGGTGAGTGTCTAACAAAGATTGCCTATGTTCCCTGGTTCTTGCAAGATTTCTGGAATGGCGTATATTCTAATTTCTATTTTTGCACAGACGGTCTAAGTATTCGAGGTACAACATTGTCAGCCTGCCATTGGGGACATAGTCCATAGACTTTAATGAATCCCTGAGTTCCTCCATGCTGAAGACATGCCCAAACCACTTAAGCTGGCGAGTCTTTAGAATATCCTTCATCGGGAGAACCCCCCAATTTCTCCCTGATTCTCTCGTTGCGAATGCAGTCACGTATCGTTCTCCCTGCGATCCTTGCGAGAAACCTAATTTCTGCAGCAGTGACATTTCTCTCCAGTTTGTCAGTCAGCACCCAGATTTCTGCACCATACAGGAGTACAGGCAGGTATACTGCCATAAATATGTACAATTTCACATCTCTTTCTCTTTCTCTTTGCAGCTCACGTCTCTTTGTCCGATCACAGTATTGCAGATCTGGTAGTATATATAGCATCTGCTTTGCTTATCCTGTTCAGAATTTCTGAATTCACTTTCCAGACCAATCCATAACAGAACCAAAGTAGGTGAAATCTGACACTACTTCCATCACCTCTCCATTGCAATTCACTATAATATCTTCCTGTACCCTTCCAACCTGTAGGATCTTGCTCTTTCTTGTACTGATGATCATACCCTTCCTGCGGAGTTCTTCCTTCTATTTGTCAACTGCTTGCTGTAATTTTGCCATGGAATTCCCAATTAGGACAATATCGTCCACATATTGGAATCAAAACTGAATCACAACCGGCAGCAGATTCCTTTGTTCCAAAAACGTCCTTTCTGTTCCTCTTATGCAGATTGTAGCTATTTCATCCATGAATAATGTGAATAGCAATGGGCTTAAACTATCATCTAGTTTATCAACCCTAGCTATGCTAAAATAGCCAGATTCCTGTCCATTCAATCTGACTATTCCTTTTGGATTCTGGTATATGGATTTAATGGTCTCAACCAGGCTCCTAGGAACATTCTTTGCTCTTAGTGTTTCTCATATTTTGTTTCTTGGGACCGAATCAAATGCTGCTTGAAGGGCGAGGAAGGTGAAGTACATATTTTTATCATTAACCCAAGATTTTTACATTATATTCCTGAGGGTGCATATATATGGTCCTGTGTCTGATGTCCTGGTCTGAAACCAGCTTGCTCCTCTCCTATGAATGGTTCCACTAGAAGTCTCAGTCTATTGTGTAGGATGGATATATCCAACTTGTATACCACTGGAGACAGGCATATGGGTCAGTAGTTGGAGCATTCAGCCTGGCTGCCTGTTTTAAATATGGGAATTATGACATTATATTCCCATTCTGTATGGATCCTTTTCTAGTCCCCAGGCTCTTTGAAAAAGTATTTGGAGAGACCTCACTAACTCCATCCCACCATACTTAACAAACTCCCCAACTAAATTATCCCATCCTGGAGCTTTTCCTGTTTTTATCTTTTCAATAGCTAGCTCGACCTCGTCCTCCCCTGTGACCTCGTCGAAGTCAGTCTCATTCCAGCACGCCTCCTGACTGTTCACAGGATATATACATTCACTTATGAATTGTTTTTCATAATGTCTCCACCATACCTCCAGGATGCTTTTGTCCTCCAAAATCATTTCTCCTTGCTCATTATTAATATTTCTTATTCCTTTGCCTGTTCGGACTCTCAATGCTTTGATCTTTTTCCAAATTAGTTTTATTTTCTTCCCGTGATCCTGGTTCAACCTCTCTCCAAATTCTTCCCACAACCTCTTCTTTTCTATTTTTACGGCCTCCTTAGTCACATTCCTTGCTAATACATATTACTGCCATTTTTCTGTGGTTTTGTCCCTGCAATAATTCTTTCAGGCTATTTTCTTTTCCTTGACCAGTGCTTTTCATCGCTCCACCATGCAGTACGTTTATCTTTTGAAGTATTCATGTGACTCCGCTGACCAATGTAGCTGATTCCAGAATACTGTCCTTCATTTCTTTCCAAACATCTTCCAAGGTGCATCAGCATCCAATTCTTGAAGTTTTCTCTTCAATTCATCTTCATACCTTTGTCGTATCTGAGGATCCTGAAGCTTTTTTACCTTTACCCTATTGTACGCTTTTGGCTTTGTCTTGTTTTCCTTAAGTACCCTGGTGTCGGCCACCAGTAGCATATGGTCACTACCTATCTCAACTCCTCTAATAACCTTTACATCTGAGAAAATCCTCCTGATTTCTCGGTCTTATATAAAATAGTCAAAGGGGGGTTAATGGGTAGGGTAACGGGAGGTCTAGAGAGGGAGATAGGTGCGGGAATCTCCCCAACTCTTTGCGGAATGATCGAGTGTAGTGCCCTACCCACTGCTTGTGAGTTCCCAGATCTCCTTATCCCTATCAACGCCTACTGTCACCTCCATGTGGTGCCCCCCGGGGAGTCCGATGGGACTCGCGGACGACAGAGGCGGGGTTCGTTGGTTCCATCCATGTGTATGCGGATGATACATGTGAGATGGAACTGAGGAACCTGTTAGGCACCCAAGCTAGGTCGGGGCGCACGAGCTGAGGCTGAGTGGCAGAGGGTGGGTAAAAATATACTGTCTCGTATCGACCCACTTGGGGAACCGGGCGACACCCCATTTCAAGTAGCCGGCTGCAGGGAGAGGGGGTAGTACCTGCAGTTCCATTGACCCCCATACTCGTGGGAACCAAAATGTTCAAATCTAATTTAAATAAAAAGAATAAATCGTCGGTATCCGAGGAGGACTTGTCCTCCGAGGAGCTTTTAAACTTATCTGAGGTCACCTCAGATAAGATTGATGAAAATCTGGTAGGGGAATTACTAAAAACCCTTACAGAAGATGTAGGAACACTTCACGTCCAAACTGACCTTAAGGAGAAGGAGCTGATGGAAGTGGCTTGCGCAATGGTGCAGGCCCAAGAAGAGCACATGGACGTTGAAGAAAGCAATAAGCCAGAAATGGTTAGAAGCCGATCGCATTCTGGACTCGACCACACGGAGTGCGGGGACCACGAGTCAGAAGACTCGAGGCCTGCCACGTGGAGGAAGATAAGGAATGCGAAGAGGCGACTAAGGAGAAG